CTGTGGGGGGAAACTCCCACTAGGTTTATATCTGGGACTCTCCACCATTTGACCTTAGAACTGAAGAAGCTTCTCGGATGAGAGGTGAAACGTCTTCAAGTAACTTAAAGAAGTCCAGACGCTTTTCTTTGCAAGCTCATTTGACTATGATGTTCTGGATGACTAATGTGTGTCCTGGGAGAGCTGACCTCAACAACTGCAAGACACCCTTCTCCTTAATTCTCAGCCACTTCTGCCATTGATCTCAAGATACAGTAGTCTGAACTAGAGTGTTCAGACTACCCCACACCCCCTAACCCACCCCACCAACGAAATGACAAGAAGGTGCAAAAGGCGCACCTCCAGGATTGGAACAGCAGCCCCTTGCACCAGGTGTAGAAAGTGTGCCTACAAAAACCACTCTACCGTGGTTAGTACATCTTGCTGCTAATGAGGATGCATACAGAAGCACACACTGGAATATGAATCTTGATCATTTTATTGGTTATCTCAGTGGTTATTTGGTCATTAAATTGCCTTTGTGGCCACTAACACACCATTTGTGATTTACTTTTTGGCCATTCATTGATACTCATTGATACTTTTAACTATTGCTACGCATCTAACCTCCACCATGGTTAGAAAATAAATCAGTTTGCATGTATTATTTAGAAAAAAATGGGGATTTTATGCTTTTATCCCTATTTAAATCATTAAAATTATGTGATCTAACTGGTATTTAAAGGGTTAAAATTCTGAATTTGAATGAAATTTAGATTTTCATGAGCAGCACTGATGCTAATCTTAAAAAATCAAGTCAGAAAAAGTGGAATTTTTTCTTAATATATATGAATTTTATAGCATTTTGTAAACGTAAACAGGGGGTGTCCATTTTTGGCCACAAACAAGCTGAGAGGGAGTTTTTATGTTTTTTCTCTCCCTGCACAAAAACAACAATGCATTATAATCAATGTTGATGTGAATCAATTACATGCCCCAGACTCTACTATTAACAATACAAGAAATTTCAGTAGCAATGCAATTATATAAAATTGTGAGGTTGTCTTCCAGCTGGTGCAGTGGACAAACAAACTGGTGTTTAAAGGGTTAAAAATGTAAAAAGTAATAATTATTTTATATTTATGAAAAGAACTGAAGTTAGTTAAAAGCTTTATGCAGAAAAAATGGCAAAAACCATAAAAATAATAAAAACTACAGACCTACTTTTGGCCACCAACAAACTGAATGGGTCGTAACCCCAGAGGGTTCAGTGATGGTCAGGTTACTGCCACCTTAAAGGGCGTGGTCATATTTAAGGTCGTGACGCGATGTCAGTAGCACTGCTGTTTACCTGTACATTATGTCTGTGGGGTGGTTATGAATATTCTCTAATGGTTTGAGCTTGATTTTGAAGAAATTCACATTTCAGGTGAATTTTGGTTTGATGGTACTTTGAGTGTTATAAAACAGGAAGTTATGTGAGTGATGCAATGTCCTCTCAATCGAAGGAAATATGTCTGAACTGCATGATATCCGCTAGAGATGGACCGATCCGATATTACGTATCGGTCCGATACTGACCTAAATTACTGGATCGGATATCGGAGAAAAATAAAAAATGTAATCCGATCCATTAAATATCACGAAAGCACCTCACAAAACTTGTAACTCACCTCAGAACGTTAGCACGTCGGAGCAGTATGCATCACGTGATAGAGCGGCTGTGGCATGCAGATAGCATGTGGAGCTTCGCTAGCAACCCGGCATTTCATCTCCGACAAAGTTATCCCGAGAGAAGTAAAGCAAGTGTGTAAGTCCATCTCTGAATGTTTGTAAAGCATTCCTGCGTTAAGCTTAACGAGCGACTGCCTCTCCTGCTGCTACTTCAATCATGAAACTGATCAATGATCAGCTGATCGTCTCTCTTGTTTGTTTTTGGCCCACTTTGCACCAGAAAGAGGAAACCAGCGGCTGAACAACAGCAGCACGTTTAAGCTTGATCAGCTGTTGTTATAATTTATTTCTTATTACTTTCTACTCGAGGATCTTTTTCTACGTAGCTGACGCTGGTAACTGTGCAGGGGCGGATCTAGCAAAGTTTAGCCAGGGGGGCCGATAGGGCATTAACAGGGAAAAGGGGGCACAAAGACATACTTTTCTTTCTTATTCTCATTAAAAATGTCGAGCTTTTAATAAATAATTATCTGAATCTTACACCCAAAGTTTTAATTTGATGTAAAATGAATAGAAGTCAATTACTGTATATAGTAACTATTAAGTCTAATATACCCTAGTAAGCTATAGTACTTTTTCCTTTGGGAAGGTATCATCTGTGCAGTCTGCAATTTTGTTGAAGAAAGATGTTGAATCTATTTAATATTTCTTGAAAAATAATTGATTTCTGTGCATTTTTTTTTCACACTGCATCAAATTAAGGTTGATTACGTCGATTAAGCATCATGAGGTGGCGCGTGAGGGGTGGTTCCCTATTTTTTTTTTTTTTTTTTGTTGTTGCTGGGAGTTGGAACCCTATTAGTTAGGTTGCTTAATATTTATGCTAAGTACTCTTTAAAATACCAGAATAGGGAGGATGGTGTAGGTTTAAGTTTATTAGATTGATCAGTATTGCTGAACTATGAAATTTTTTTTTTGCATACAGGTATAACAGAATAGCTTTAGTGTTTGTTTGTTTTTTGAGTATTAACTTATACAAACGGCAGAGATATTTTAAAAAACAGTTTTGTTGATTAAAAACACTATATCGGATTCATATCGGTATCGGCAGATATCCAAATTTATGATATCGGTATCGGACATAAAAAAGTGGCATCGTGCCATCTCTAATATCCGCTGCAGCAGTGGGACTAATGTGATGTTTTCTTCCCTGCGTCTCACAGACTGATTAATAAGCTGCAGCCTGGTTCAGTGAAGAAAATCAACCTTTCACAGCTCAACTGGCACAAGGTGAGCGCGACCCACAAACACTGCAGAGCTGCAGCTGAAGCACGTCACTCGTCTTATTAGTGCTCCGTCTCTTATCACTCTGTTTCCCTGATGCTCTCTGCAGCTGGAAAACCTCGGGAATTTCATAAAAGCTATCCTGGCCTACGGCCTGAAGCCCAATGACATCTTTGAGGCCAATGACCTGTTTGAAAACGGAAACATGACTCAAGTCCAGACAACACTACTCGCACTGGCTAGCATGGTGAGTGCACGCACAGCACAGAGGACGAGTGCGTCTTTCTTCTGTTATAGAACACAAAGCGCCATCAGTCTGACGAGCGTGTGTTATCTGACAGGCTAAGACTAAAGGCATTGACACAAAGATCGATATCGGAGTGAAATATGCAGACAAACAAGCTCGACACTTCGATGATGAGAAGATCAAGGCTGGCCAGTGTGTCATCGGACTGCAGGTAAATGAAGTGTGACTGTCACATGACCTGAGATGTGTCATCATTAGATTTAAACCATTTCAGTGTCTTTTGATGGAGCAGAGAAACACTCCCTGTTTAACCTGATACGTTTAAATACGTTTAAATGCCAACAGTTCACTGTAGAGTGAAATGAGACGAACTGTGTTTGCTGAGCTCGTGTCTCTGGTTCCTCAGATGGGAACAAACAAGTGTGCGAGTCAGGCTGGAATGACTGCGTATGGAACGAGACGACATCTGTACGATCCAAAGACTCACACTGACAAACCTTATGACCAGACTACCATCAGCCTGCAGATGGGCACCAACAAAGGAGCCAGCCAGGTGAAACCCAGTCCTTACTCTCTACCATGTGTCGTGCTGTGACAGAAGTATTGGCCCACTCCCTGATCATTATCATGGTCTTTTGTTTCGCATATTGTCCACACTTGGTGTGTTTAGACAAAGATAACCTGAAGATTTCATTTCTTAAAGGAAAAGCTTTGATTTCACTCGCTACACCAGGCCAGTCCTGAAGTTTTCAAAAAGCTACACGAGAAAAGCTCAGTGAAATCAGTCTGCATTGGGGTAACAAAGCCGTTTGGGCCTCGTTCAAACCACAAACGGAGGAGACCTGGAGCAGCCCTCCCAGGAGGGGCCGACCTCCCAACATTACTCCAAGAGTGTCTCGACAACATGTGAGACACTTGAGTGGAACGTGAGCCCCACAGCTATACGACTTTTCACATGCTGAGTGACAGTGAGGTGTGCGGCTCAGATTCATAAATAAATGAGTTTAGCTTTTTTGGTCAACACCTGAAGAAGGAAACAGCCACTGTGGGTTTGAGACTGTCTCTTCCTCATTAACGTCTCAAAGGAGCGTCGTGCATTGAAGACCCTATCAGAAATCAGCACTGGCATCAAGCACAGAGCAGTTTGATTATAAAAGCCAGGTGATTGTGGGACTCTTGTTAGCTTTTGCTGCGTCCCTGCTAAATAGCTTAAATAAAATATCCTGCACTGTATACAAAGTCTGACGTGTCTTCAGGAGGACGGCTGCTTAACCCGACCTGCTATTCTGTTCATCAGAGGTTAGCATGGTTGGCATCAGGACAAAACACAGTCTGAAAACTGCAATTACATACAATGAATCTTAATAAGCCAAGCCATCATTTTAAAAAGTCACCTTTGTCTAATAATCAAACGAGTTTGATCTGAAACGTGTGCCCAGTGAAGCTCTGCGTTATTGCTCAGTGATCACTTTGAGTCCTCTGTGTAAATGTGTTTGTTGTGCTGATGTGCGCCATGTTTCCTGTAGGCGGGCATGCCGGCCCCCGGCACTCGCAGAGACATCTTTGATCAGAAAGTGGCCGTGCAGCCGCTGGACAACACCACCATCTCTCTGCAGATGGGCACCAACAAGGTGGCGTCTCAGAAAGGAATGAGCGTGTACGGGCTGGGCCGCCAGGTTTACGACCCCAAGTACTGCGCCCCCCCCACCGAGCCGGTCGTCCACACTAACGGCAGCCAAGGCACCGGCACCAACGGTTCCGACATCAGCGACAGTGACTATCAGGCTGAATTCCACGAGGACGAGTACCACGCCGGCTACCACCACGACTACCATTACAACGATCAGAACATCTGCTAGTCGGGCTCTCCACCTGTTAGCAGATGTGTTTTATCACTACAACAGAGCAAGTCTTTTGCTATCGCTAGTCTTTTTATTCTCTGTTATCTGAAACGTTGCTTTGTATTTCATCTTCACCTAGACTTTGATCTCAGCTCCAAAGTTTGTAAGACGTAGCATAGAATCACCACACGCACACAGTGGCAGATGCCGTTTTTAAGCTAATAGCCTCTTTTATCAAAGAAATGATGGCTCCAAGAGCACGTACCTCGTTTGGCGTTCATGCTAATGGCTAGACCGGAGTAGTCCTGAATTCCCAGCCTCCCTTTGCTCTTTGTTGTTCTGTGCCCTCTTGTTTGGCCGAGCTGTATTTATGTGCAGTGTCCCAAAGTAAAGCAGTCTGCTTTTTACAATGAAAACGACATGTTATAAATAAAGTTTTAAATCTTTAATGTTAAACCTGGACCACGCACTAATCCCAGCCTATAACATGCTTCTACTGCTAACATGGAAATCAGGTCACGTCTGTGGAAAGAGGCTCCGAGCGTGCAGTTGTGAGGTGAAGCGCTCGCTCTGATTGGAGGCTGACATCAGCGCTCGTAGTTGGGGAACAGACTGTAACCACTCCCCCACACAGGTACGGTGCTAACAGGCGTCGTCTGTGACAAGAGTGTGTGACCCCAAATGTAATCATCTGTAGATCCTAATAGGAGATATTCAGAGTACCTGAATCGTATGATGGCAACGATGGACCGGTGCACGGTACTTTAACAATCAGAGCCTGAATCACACACACACTCATACAGATGCTTTATTCTGTGCTGAAGTACTTTCCACCTCACATGCATACACAGAGTCATCAGAGGCAATTCGCCAAATTGCCTCTGAACATGTTGCATTTACGTGGGAGAAGCCAGGAATTCAACCAACAACCTCCTGATTGGTAGCACCGGCTCCCTAGCAGCGGCTGTTCCTAACAAGGACTAAAGTACCCTCCTCTTCAGGTCTGGGTTTCATCCTATTCCCCCTGTGGCTGCTTTCTCTCACCGCACAGACACGTGTGCTAGGTTGAAGGAATAATGTGGTGTCCCTGCTGGAATGACCGATCCAGGCTTTCCAGCCTCCCTGTGTGTAGCTAGTCGATGTAGTGTGCAGTAGACGCTGTTAAACAGTACAGGAATGTTACTCTATTACTACTTTTTATCTGGGGAGTATATCATGTCTACATTTATGTAACAATGTAGCGTTGCAAACATGAAAGGCAGAAGTGAAAATAAACCCTGTAAATTCCAACAATGATTATCTGCAGAATCTCCTTATGTGCTGGTCAGTGTGCAGCAGCCACGCTGTTGTGTAGAGTGCTACTGGGAGCCACTCGGTCCCATATTAGTACAGAGTATGTATTTGTGCACAGGACATCTAAGCACCCACTCAGGACCAGCTCTGCAATGAAACGGTTTCCAGACACGCTCAAACTTTTAGTCTCTTGGTAGGAACTTGGCTGGACTCCTGTTATTCATAACGACCACATGGACACACGGCTTTACCCTGATTTCGTTTTGTTGAGGGACGTCTTTTATCTGCTAAATGTGCGACATAATGTTAATCATCTTTCAAATGATGATTAACATTATGTCGCACAGCAAGAAGGTCCTGGGTTTGACTCCAGGCCACGATCCTTCTGTGTGGAGCAGGTGACACAGGCGTGGGGTTCAGTTAACTGATGATTGAAATCGGTGGTAGATGTGAATGAGCGTTTGCCTCTATGTGCCAGCCCTGCAACAGACTGCTGGCCTGTTCAGGGTGTACACTATGGCTCAAACCACCCTCTCATCCTGAACTGGAGAAGCTTAAGAAGACAGATGAATGGCTGAAAACTTTCAAATGCATTTACGTGGATTTGAAAAGTGAGATTCTTCCCATAGTGCAATAAAAAGACTGTAAAGGCTCTTCATGGTGCATGTAAGAGAAGTTTCCGCGAGGGAAAATCCAGTAAATCAGCCAAGTAGGACAAGTAGGTCAGATTTCAGCACAGAAAATTCCAAGATGCATGAAAATGTCAACATGGCAGCTAATATAAGAAACCCTGTGTTCAACTGGTAACACACGAGAGCCTGGAAACAGATGTTTTCAGTGTGTGACTGGCTGCCACATCCATGTGCAGGTACACTTTTTAAATTGTATTCCATTACCTTTACCTCTGTATTGTGTTACCATTGTGTCATACTTCTGAAAGTTAGTAACTGACAAAAGGCAGAATATGAAGTTTAGATCTTTAAACAGTCTTTTTCCTCTCAGTGCACCCATCGTTTGCTGCCTGAGCTCATGTGATAATGACAGCGTCTAATTGGCTGTGATATAATAAGCATTGGCTTCTGTGTCTTTCTTCTGCTTGTCCTGTAATATCGCCCACATATCCAGCTTAACTCAGACGGATAGTGTAGCTTGAATGATACACGAGGGCTCTGACTATAGTAAAAGTGCTCCTCTAGTTATGTTCACTTCACTTTTATGTATAAAGTGTTCATTCACAGTTGTGTCACGTGCTTTGTTTGCTAGCTAAAGACAATATTAGAAAGAAGCGATCAGTAGGTGAGCTGCTCTACCTCCTGAGCTGCAGCCACCAAGGAGTCAAGCGCTTGTGCTCTGAGACTTTCTTATCAGAACAGCCACAGTGTGCAGGGCAGCAGTGAGGATGCAGCACTGTTACCCACCCTCTGTGGGAGCAGAGTGTAGCTAGCTGCTCTGCATGGCCACACATTAAAGCACTGGGCTTCAGAGACTGGTTAAAGTAATTTTCTTGAGTGTTGTAATTGCTTTCATGTTTTTCATGGTCTGTCTGCAATATAAATAATGAAATAATGACAGTTTGAAGAGTCATGAAAATATTCAGCCTGTGTCCTTCTAGTTAAATTTAGACCTCTAATTGTGAGGAGACAAGCTGTTGTCTGTTCTAAGCGCTCAGTCAGGCCCGGGCATTTCAGAAAGCTGAAGACAAAGAGCGTGCAGCCAGTGAGCTTCATGAGAATCAGATGGCCTTCATTCAAAGCCCCTTTTAACCCCAGGCCTCCCCAACTCCTCTGCTGCTCAGGAATAATCGCTGCTTTGTACAGGGCTGCAGAATCCAGAGTGAAAGCACAAGACTCAATGATAGAGCCCAAAAAAACGTGGTAACCGCAGCAACAACAGAGGGCCCTAGAAGGCATGGCATAAAGGCACGGGCAGTCCTGCAGGCCCGCCTCGATGCAAGCACAAACCGTCCCGTGCTCCTGCGGCACACAGTAGAGGTTTTAGATACGGGTGGCACGGGCGGTTGCCCGGGGCGGCATCACGGGCATCGGCAAAAAAAAAAAGCTTGTACTCATGCTGCCCCGACGTCATGCCAGCGCATATTGGGAAATTCGTAGGCACCGATCGGTTTTCTATCGCCCATTTGCTGGGAGTAAGGGCGCCCTCCGTTTGCGAGGTGCGCCTGCTGCTGGCGGGGCAGAGAGGAGAGGGCGGGGCGACGAGGATTTTCTGACCGGCTGAAGCAGCGTCTAATAACCAACTCGCAAAGTAAAACAAAATAAAAATAAACCAACAAACACAAAAACACCAGATATCATGATACAGACGTATAATCTGCAATGATGTTTTTTCGAAATTCTATACACGAAAAGTGAGCGCGAGCCCTCGGTGCGCCTGCGCGCTGCTGAAGTCAAAGTAAACTTTATTGTCATCTCCGCTACAGTCCAGTATATAGAGCAGGGGTCCCCAATCCCAGTCCACGAGGGCCGTGTCCCTGCAGGTTTTAGATGTGTCCTTGATCCATCACAGCTGATTTAAATGGATAAATGACCTCCTCCACACGTTTTAAAGTTCTCCAGAGGCCTCGTAATGAACTAATCATGTGATTCAGGTGTGTTGACCCAGGGTGAGATCTAAAACCTGCAGGACACCGGCCCTCGTGGACTGGGATTGGGCATCCCTGATATAGAGAGACGGGACGACAAGGCTCCAGTTACAGCAGTGCAAGCAAACCAAAAATATATGTAAGGAGAGTAAGAAAATAAATATATACTTTAGGACCAGGGGTAAAGGATCAATAACAATTTAAAATTTACAGTTTGATGATTTAAAGTCTCACACAAGCCGTCGAAAGGGGCGGGGCCGGCTGCTTCCAAACAGAGCACATTTCATCCATAATGCTGTAAATCCAAGCCCATCATGGATTCATGATCTGAATCCTGGGTTGTATGAAATCTCAGAAATGCACCCTAGACAAAGTGAATCTGTGAACTAAGGTGTAGGTCTGTTAGATCATGTTGTGGTGATCCTCGGGTTGAGGGATGGGTGTTCATACTGGAGTGCAAAATTCAAACCAATGGAAGATGGACAAGAAAAGTTCAAAGCCATCAGGTGCTCAGGTTAGAAAAAGAGAAAAGAAGAGGTAAGCAGACGTGTGATTGGATAATGGCAGGTCATCCTGAAACTATCAGAGTCAGAATACTTTATTAATCCCTGAGGAAATTATGTGGGTTACAGAAGAAATGGTAAAAATAGCAACAGCAACAGACTAAACTCCAAACATCACATTAAGTTACAGATTTTAATATTAATGAGTCGTTGTCAGTTGTTGATTTGTCCTGTTCTCATTGTGTGACGAATTATGATGGCTGTTTGCATACTATGCATACTCTCTCTCTTCCTATGTGTGTGTGTACAACAATTTTATGTTAATGTACAATCCTTAATATGTTTTGTGGGGGGGGCAGAGGGAGTGTTCGCCCAGGGCGCCAAACTGGCTAGGACCGCCACTGGCGGCACACATAGTGCTGGGGCCCAGGAACACGCCGGCCAGGCTTTACTAATAATCGACAGTTTTTTATCAAAACAGCAGAATTGTGTTGAAGAACTGTGGACAAAGAAATGCTCATCACTGAAGGAGATGAACTACTTCCTCCTTATCATTCTGTTTGAAATCATCGCTGCTCTGTGTAATATGCTGTGTTTTGGGTGTCTGTGGAAACAGTCGTCCTGCAAGGCGTGGACGTCATTAGCATGCAAGTTCTCACAGCTGCTCAGGTTGTGATTCAAAGCATCTCTGCAGCAAGAGCCAACCTGCCATCCTGTAGTCAACAAAGAGGTTTCATTTTTCTCCAGTCAGAGGATCTAAGATGGGGAAAATTCTCTTTACATGCCAAACCTGCTTAAAATAAACCAACAACTTCTCCTCTGAATCACAGAACAGGCAAAAAGAGGTGAGATGTTCCTCTGAGAATAAAGTCGGAGTTCTTTTAATGGAAAAGGATTTAACTTTAACAGGCAAGAACACCACACAAGCACATTTACTATGGTTTCTTTTACATGCACATACAACTTAGAATCGAATAGAATTCAACTTTATTGTCATTGCACACGTCACAAGTACAAGGCAACGAAATGCAGCTCGCATCCATCCAGAAGTGCTTCAGCACAAATATAGATATATTACAGAATATGGATCTGTTATCCTCTGCAGGCCTACTTGTTGTTCCTAGAGTATTTAAAAGTAGAATGGGAGG